TTTCTAAAGTATTCTTGTAACTAGTAAATGGTCGTTTGTATTAACTGGATCTGTCACCTGCTTGGTCTTTAGGTTGAAAGAAATGTAGTTTGTGAGTTGAGCGTCCCATTAGGGTATTTATGAATAATTTATATATGTACGATGTATGGTATGATTATCATGATGGTATCGTTCCATGACGTTGGGATTCTTCCAGTTTCTCATCCTCTATTAAATATAACTTTGAGAGCGTAAATTATTTTTTTCTCCTGTAATAACTTTATTCACAATGCATACTTCTCTTGTGGCTTTGCTGTTTTTCATTTCTCTTAAACACCATTTCAATTTCTGTTCTTTTAATTTTTATTATATCTTCTAAGCCCTGATTGTGAATTATTGGGATATTTGTGACATTATTGTTAGTGGGAGCATGCTTTCATTCCAATCAATCTTTCATTATCTGTATTCATTTTCCTTTATCTGATATTACTGTACCTTCTGTGTCAATATATTTTATTCATTCTACTAACTTTCTACGTCTAAGCTTTTATTTTGTTTTATTAATTCCGAAATATTGTATTTTCATACATATTTTCTTATTTCTTTTAACATTTATTTGCTTATTCGTACCTATATATTCTGGTATATCTTTCTGCTCGAATCGTTTTTGTTTTTCAATAAGCTGTTTTTGTGTTGACTTATTTTATCAGATGTCTTATTTTGTTTACTACAAGATCTTTCTACAGTGTTTTCAGGACACTTACTATCTGGTTGTTTATTTCCTCCAGGTGTTCTATAGGTTTTGAATGCCATCCTCCACAAGGTTTTTTTGGGTATATTGACTTCGTTAGCTACATTTATATTTAACAGTTGTAGAACAAATATGTGTATTTTAACATTTAGTGATCATAACGTTTCTTGGAAAATAAAAATGTTCTCATCCACAAACTGTATTTAACTGTAAATGTGAAAACTAGTTAAAACATTAGAAAAAAGAAAAAGAAAGACTGTAGGATATACGACATTGCATATTATAAGAGATAAGATTCCCAAAGTTTCTAATTCCTCAAATGTAGCAGGGCGGACATAGGTAAAGAACGTTATTTCGTTAATGCCGTTACATGTAGCTGTATTAAATTAAGCTGCAATACATCTACTATACAACAGACAAGTTTATAAAATTGATAAGGAACGTATGTGTAAAAACACAACTGAAGTAGAATTAAAGACAGAAACAACAGAACCGATTCAAATAACAACTTTAATTGGACAGAGAGACTCAGCAAGTTTAAAGTTCTAAAAAAAAACCATATACAAAATAGTACATGTTACATATTATCCGACGTCCATCAGGCAACTAATCGGATTCAAAATTACCGTTTACCAATACAAAAATATGTTAAATATTGTTTTCAATGGAATTATTACCATTCACAATAACACTGTTATTCATGAATATAATAAATTCTTTGGATAAGATGGTTCAAGATACATATATTATTCTCAATATTCTTTACATGACGTGTAATATCATTCTCCACTGCGTCCGAGTTATTTTTTGGAATAAACTTTTAATTATTTTTAAAACATCAGTATCTAACTCTGGAGTTAAATTGTTGTCATAGACATTTTTTAACTGGAATCATAAAAGTTCAATATGATGTATTTAAAAGACAGCAGTAGTAAAATACCATGTACTTTATGTCTGAAAGTCAAATATTTTAAATTAAGCGCCAATTAGCGGAACAGTGCCCTAAGGGAAACATTATAAATTACATAAGAAAATAAGTTATTTTTCTTTTAAGTGATCAAGTCGTTTTTCATTTTCTTTAAGAATTTTTAAGTTATTTTGTTCAACAAGAACTTCAAATCAGCGCAAATATAAAGTCCAACTTTTCGTGGTTTCTTCACATCTCTTCACTTTATTCTTAAATAGATTATAAACTACCTACTTCTTAATAAATTCCCACTGCTAAAACGTTAAGTAGTTATTCGTTAGTGTCCTGTTTGTCAAAGTATAATTTTTTTTTTCATTAAAAATTCTTGAATTTATACTTTATATTTGTTTCTCCATTTAGAATTTTACGAACTATAGATTAGTAATATGCATTATCCAATACGAGTACGCTGTTATCTTCCAATTAGGATAATAATTGAGTCTCCAACCATGCTTCAAATAAACTACTGTTTATGTCTATATCTTGATTGTAATCCAGGCTTAACTTTTTTTATGGTTTAAGCAAAAATTAATAGAGCATCTTCTACCCAATCAAACTCTCCAACACAATGTAAAATATATTTGTTTCCCCGCGTTTCAAGAAATTTCCGTAACATAATTGAAGTTTCCGTAACAATAAATGTGCCGTACACTATTGCGGACATGTAGTATTTTATTAATATATTTATTTCTCCATTTTATCAATTGACTCTGCTCCATACTCTATTGATTTTTATGCACCATCTTAAATGCAAAGCCGTTTGATGTAAGAAATCTTTCATGGCAGTATTCAATAATTATTATTTTTATATCCTCATATCCTTTTCTTTAAATATTGTTCTGAAGCTATTTTCTTGTGGCATTTTAAATTAATTACTATTTAAATTTCCACTTCGGAAATTGAAACGTCAATAAACGTACTTTAACCTTTAATCGGGCTTATTCCCATTTAAATAGTAACTTTTCTTTAAAGCAAGGAAATGGTTTTTAGCATACATGCTATAAATTGTATGTTTTATGCGTTTCAGAAAATGATTCGGCACAGTACGAGTTACCTTTTTGTATTTTTTTTTCTTTTGGCTTTGATTTATAATTTTGTGGACTGTTAAACGTGGAACATTTATTAAAATTTCCACAGATTCAAAATTTCCGAGAAATATGTACGTTTCCTTTTGGTCAACTCGACTTTCTCTAAAAATCACTTTTCAAAAATACACGAAAAAATCGTGTGCAGATTCTGAATGAGATAACGGCACAATTCAAAAACTACATATTGAAAATAATCGTTTCGACCGGTTAAGAAATTGTCGGTATATAAACACAACTAACAATAGCAAAAAATGGTATAAGGATATTATACCTAAAGTATTGTCATGTTAGACCATCTTTTTCTTGATGTGTATACTGTAGCTTTCTAATGAAGGTACACCGTATAAGGTTTTGGGTTTTCCTTCTCTTAGAACTTACATAGAACTATATAAGAATCTGATAAATACAATGAATAAACAGTAAAACTTTTATACTCGGTTCGCTAATGCCAGTCCGAACTGTCTAGTGATTTTAGTAATTATGTTTTTACGAAGTTAGTTACTTTTTGACAGACTAGAAGTGGCTGGAAATTATTATACAACCAAGTACACGTGCTCATAGCGCATTTCATAAGAGTATTTCGTCGACCTTATTTGCAAACTTATACTATGAATTATAAATTTATAGCATGTATATAGAATGTAAGTTTCTATTATATATAAAAAATATGTTTTATAAAAAAAGTTATGGTAATTTAGTTTAATATCGTTAGATTGCGCCAAATGTAGGCAACTTAAACTTTTTTTTAGCATTTAGTTGGAGTTTCTTTAGAATATATTTAATAAACATTTAATATTTTCCAGTTAATTTATTATTATTTTTTAAAGTGATGATAATAATGCTGAATAAGCAATATTTCAAATGATATCTAATCACAGGACGTACTTAATATTGTGTTATAAAGTAGGTTAGATAAAAAATATCATAATATTCATATTATAATTCAAAAATATCATTCATCAAAAACATAATCCAATATCATCAAAAATATAATTAAAACAAATCATAATCTTCTATTATTCCTATTAGAAACTAGTTTTGGACGATCCGGGATTTTACCTTTTTTATTTAACGTACTTTATTATGAGGATTTTACAATAACACAATATTAAGTACGTTTTGTGATTAAATATCATTTGAAATATTGCTTATTCAGCATTATCATCATCACTATTAAAAAATAATAAATTAACTGGAAAATAATAAACGTTTATTAAAAATATTCTCAAGAAACTCCAGCTAAATCCTAACAAAAAGTTTAAGTTGGTTGCCTACATTTGGAGCAATTTAACGATATAAACTAAATTACTGTAACTTTTATTTAATTTTTGACGCCATGTCAAACTGAACTGGATGTTAACTGAAATGTTTTTGTTATTAAGAACATATTTACATAATTTTATAAATATATTTTAATGATCCACCTACGCCGAATGGGCAAATAATTAAACAAAAATGGTTGGTGTTTTGAATAAATCTTTTTGCAGTTTGATTACTTCTTAATTTAACAGCATCCTTACTCATCTATAAATATTAACTTTTAAAGAACATTTATCATATTTATATTTATTTAAGAAAAACTTACCAACGCATTATCTGATAGAACAAATGGAAAACTTTGACTCTCTCTAATAATAACATTCAAAATAGAACTAACAAGGAATTAAACAAAAATAATGGAACAATAAAACATATTAGCTAAAATAAACAACGTGAATAATACAAATATTTACTACAATATGTTCAATTGTAACAACTCAAATATTATATTTTAAATATACAGGGAAAATTTTGTGGGTTTAGTATACACTTCCACTTTTGGAATAATTCTTCTTTTTTTAAAGGAAGAAGTCTGCAATAGTAGTATATTTGAGCTATTAATACTGAGAAGTAGGAATTTTTATGTTGTAGGTTTCCTACAATGATTCTGTCAAAATATGCCCGAGCTAAGCGAATGGAGAATAAGTAGAGTTTTATGTAAAACGTGGAAACTCTACTAAAACTGAATAAATTTTGTTAGAAAATATTACGTAACCAATATTCAGTAAAAAAAATCAAAATCCGCCCATTTGAAACAACTGGGATCAAACTATGTAGAAAAAAGTTAAGAATTGTGTACGGAATGACAATTTGTGGAGAATAGGAAAGTTGTAAAATCCAATATGGTTTAAATAAATAATTTTTAACTTATTTTAAGAAATCCTTGTCAACTTACCTTGTATTATTGTTATAATGGGCCTAATCAACGAATATAACTCATTTTTACTACATTCTTCAAAAAATTGTGAATTATGCTGTAATTTATTATTTAACAATTCCAAAACTCTTCTCCTAACAGTCGATAATGTGTGTATCATCAGGCCTTTAGTTACCAGTAGAAACATCTGTGGAGTCAGAAGAGCGTTAACACTGTCCAAAATATCGTAACTCAAATGTAACAAAACTTTCCAGTAATGCGCTTGTGGTGTATTCGAAGCTTTATCGGAAACTTTAGATATTCTTTGTATATATTGGAGCGTGTTGACGATCATCTCTTTAAACAAAGGTTCCAGGGTAAGTTCATCTTCATCGCTAAGGGAAGCAACTTGATTTACAAACTCTGGAGAACCTAATAGATTACCAGTGGATTTTACCAACACATATTTGTAATGTCTAAAGTCTTTAGGCGTATGAGAAGCGATGTTGAAGATAGTCGCTACATCACCTAAAATATAAATTTAATATAATATTAACTGAATTTTGTATAAATGTATGTATGTACTCGCATGTATGTATAATATGTGCTTACTATCTATTTCCATATTTTCCTCTTTTTCATCTGGTAATTTACTCAAATATTTTACTAGGGAGATGCCATTGGCAATGACAATCTCTGGGGAAAATTCCCTACATAATTCTGCAGCTATATCTAATCTTTTCTGAGAATTTTCTTTTCTCTGTTTGTCGTGAGCACCATGTGTAACTTGAGCTTCAAAAATTAATAGTAAAAATAGATACAGGTGATTCTTAACTTCTATCTGCTCCAGAAGTTGTTTATAAAGTGGTATTCTTCTGTGCTCTGGTACGTCAAGAATTACATCTACAAAGACTCGAAGAACATTGGAAATGTTCTGAATCTTATTTTCTACAAATAACATAATAATTACAGATTATATAATATAATAATATAAAATATATTTTTTTATTATAAATGAAACAAAATTTTAGATAACATTTTTCAATTGTGTCAGGATTTCTGGTATTCACATTCTGAAAAAAAAAAATTAAATTCGGTATAGGAGGCATAGCGAGATTTAAGAATTTATTATATTTCAAAGCACTAACGAGAAATAGAGTTCACTTGAGACACTTCTTGGAATCTTTATGCTCCTCTTAGGAATCTGAGCGGCTATATAATGATCAATTAGTAGACATACTAACATACTGAGTGATATTCCATCAGAAGAGAAAGTCATAACAGGAGGTAATTCAATGCACATGTGGGTAAATTCAAGGGATGATATATGGAATATATAAAACATTTTTGCAAAAAGGACAAACTCAACTTATTATGTACAAAAGTGGACAAAATCACTGCCAAATAGATTATTTCATGAAAAGAAAAGAAGATGTACATGAATGTAAGGACTGCAAGGTAATAGTGAGACAATAACCCACAGCATAAGTTGTTTGTACTGGGCATAGAAGTAAAAAAGCGATATTATATGATTACATTGTCTGTGATGATTTTATAACATAATTTTATTTAAATGTTAGTCTGTAAAAGTTTTTTAAATATCTGTTTGGTGTAAAAATGTTTTTAAAACAAACAATTTTTTGGATAGTTTTCGATATTATTTGTAGGAGCCAGATGAGTTGTTTATTTCATTTTCTAAACACCATGACAACTAACCTCAATTACTGTAAGATACAAAATAATTTTTATTCTGCAATTTGTACTAATTTTATATATTGTAGCACCCTGATGATGCAAATAAAGATTTGTGAAAGCTTGGTAAACTAAAAACAGTACTTCTTTGTCCTGTCTTCCACTGTATATCCAAATAGTTGTATATAGTGTGTTCCAACGAAAATTTGACACCCCCATAAACTCAGAAACCGAGAGTTTCTTCAAAATTTAAGAGAACACGTCAATTTGTATTGGGGGGGGACGAATTTTTATGCAAAATTTATGCGCTAAAATTTAACCTCTACTGCCCCGCATCAACACCCCCGTTTTTTTAATAATTGTAGTCGAGTGGCACATCATTTGAAAGGTATTTTTTTTCTTTACACGATACTTTATTTTTTTAATTTACGTAATAACTTTGAAGGTAATTTTGAATTTAACTATAATTGCTTGAATATCAGTAATAACAAAAAAACATAAAATTTCACTAAATTAACTAATTAAACGTTTTTAGCGATAATGTTTAAAGATAATGAATCCTAATTATCTTCTTTAGTGTTTACCAGGTTACCTTTGATTTGAGATTTGGAAACGACTGATTTATCAGAGATATTATTGTAACAGCTTACAATTAGATATTATAGTGAAAAAAGAATAGAATTAGTTAAGCTATACTATGAAAATAATCAGTGTCCTAAGGCTATGGCAAGGATCTTTAATACGGACCACCCAGAAAAAAACGTAAGTCAAAAATACGTTAAACACTCAACTTATGTTTGAAGCTACAGGTGACGTTAACAACATAAAGCACGAAGTAGACCGTCGACTGCGAAATGAAGCAGTTGAAGTGGGAGTTGTCCATTTATAAATGGATAATCGACAGATCATCAGACAACTATCTCGTGCATCTGGTGTATCAGCATCTCGTCTTTAATTATAAAATCCAATAAATTTCACCCTTATAAAATACGGCTACTTTATCAATTAAACGAAGATGATTCGTGGATTTATTTTCTCCTACTTTTCTTCTACTTATTTATTCATGGAGACACATACACAAACACCTCAGAAATTAAATGTATGGGTTGGCAATTTAGGGAATCACGTTATTGGACCATTATTTCTTGAAGGAAATCTCAAGAGAATCTTATTTTAATTTGTTAGAAAACGTTATTGATCCGCTCATCACTGACACATTGGAATCTGATAATAATCTTTTAGAGGATTTACTGACTTTTCAACAGGACCCACATTATGATGTACGCTTAAGACAATTTTTGGATCAACGTTTTCCAGAGCGTTGGATTGGCAGAAGGGGTCCAATAGAGTGGCCGGCCAGATCACTGGATCTTTTGCCTTTGGATTTTTTTATGAGGATACCTAAAATCAAAAATATAAGCACTCCGTCTGCAGATCATGCAGAATAGCGACAAAGAATTGTGATACAATAAAGATAAAGATGATACCGGAGGAATTTGCAAATGTACGAAAAGGCTTTTGAAGATATACTGTATTATTGTACGGGGTCACAGGAAGTCACTTCGAACGTTTAATTGGTTAATTTGATGAAATTTTATGTTTTTTGTTATTACTGTTTTCAACCAATTAATTAGTTAAATCCAAAAATTATCTTCAAAGTTATTCCGAAAAAAATTGAGTGTCTTGTAGAAAAAACAAATAACTTTCAAATGATGTGCCACCAGACCACACGTGATATTTAAAAAAAAACGGTGGTGAATGAATTTTGCATAAAAATTCGTTCTCCTTCCAATACAAATTGACGTGTTTTTTTTAAATTTCGAAGAAACTCTTGGTTCCTGAGTTTCTGGGGGGGGGTGGGTAAAATTTTCGTTGGTACACACACACACACACACATATAAAACTAGTACATATAAAAAATAAACAATTATATACTAACCTTCTTCATCACTAGAGACTATTATGGGAATAATTGTATCAACAATTTTTGAAATAATCTGAAAACTATAAGCATCGTCATGTCTCAGCACTGATGATCCTATAAATGTGAATATAGCCATAATATTATGCAAAACTTGATTGGGAATATTATGTGCAGTGTGCGCTAATACCAGCAATGCATGATGATGTGTTTGAGGGTTCTGGGAGGCTCTTATACACTGAACAATGAGTTCCACATTAAAAACGTTTTCGGGTATCTTTGCTTCGATTTTTGTACAGCAATGCAGAATGATAGAAAGTAAAAGTTGTTTTGGATATTCCACAGCGCTTTGCTCATCAAAATCTAGACAACGTTTAAGAAGATCGAAAAATATTGGCACTATCATCTCAGAATTTCTTATTTTCTTTTTATCTTGAATAAATTCCAATATCGTAATACCTAAAAAAATATGTATAATTTAAAAATTATTATTAAATTTGTATTAATATGACTTTTAGTTGCGAACTTTAATGCACACTAAAAAAGTTATTTTTGTGATAAAATATCAATAGCTTAAGTTACTTAAATATTGTCATGATATCTTTCAAATACCATATTGAAAATAATGCGCATACCAAGAGAGTGGCTTTTGAAGAGTTGACTACAGCAAGAGTCAGGAAAAAGTAAAGAAAATTAAAATAATAAGAAACAGGCACCGAATTTTTTTTAACTAACGAGCGGGGCTCTCAAAAACCGAATACACGAAGCTTAATCATCAAATGCAATTGATAGAAACAGAGATAGGTTTATTTATCCAAGATTGTGGTTTATTTTCATTGATACAAAGCATGAGAAAGAAATATTAAATAAAAATAAAGAAAATCGTATGAAATTTAGAAAAAATGAGAGACTTGAAGACTTGACTAAAGTTTTGTTTTTCAAAATATTTAGCAATTGGATTCCGTTCCCCTATAATTTACGACTAAACTGGTTTAGATGAGAGGTCACATTTACCATACTATTTATATCACGTCACATATAATGTATTATAAAATATTTGAACATCTTTATGGTTGATGAGGTCAAGATAGTCAACTGTCAAGGAGGAATGATTCAATTTTTGTTATTACCGAAAATGTGTAAAATATTTTCTCTGTATAAACAACTTACCCTGTATAATATCAGCAGAAGACCTACGTAATCACTCTTTATTGCAACAAAATATTCTTTAAAATCTTTTTGTTGAACTGAGTATGGAGACATAAATATGTACCTCATAATTAATGCTTTTAGGAAGGAACTCATTAATTGCGGGTAAAATAGTTGAAACAAACAATTCCGCAAAAAAGCCTCTAATTTCCGACTTAAAGATTGTATATGTTTCGTGACAGTTTATGTCTACTTTACTTATGTGGTAATACTGTTACATATTTCACTATTTCAGCAAGCAACGATAAGTCTTTAATTTTTTAGAATTATTATAATAAGAAACTATAAGAAATAAAGGGACATAACTGTATACATATTTGCTAATAAAATAATAGTTATAAGTACATATATCATGTTGTTATTATTTTATAATATCCCAACGAGCTTGCGAGAGAGGCTAGAATATTATAAAGGCAATAAGGTCTCGTTTATGTGCGAATGACACAAGATACTATGCACGACTACATTTGAATGCAAATTTATATATTATATTGGCATGCTGATATATTTTTTAATTTTTTTGTTTCAGATAGCGATGAGTCAGATAATATAGAGTCAAAGAAGAAAATAATGGTGCTGATTGGGGATTAGTATTTGGCGATACGAGAAATTTTATTTTGAAGAAAATGTAGGACTAACAGAGGGAGTCCTAATCATGAAGAATAAAGAAGAATTCGCCTACGTCATACTTTTCGTAGATAAAGAAATTATCAGTATTATTGTCGAAAAAACCAACATATATGCAAATCAGGTGATTGTGAATAACATCGGTAAAAAAACCGTTTTCTGAAAAGAAACCGAAAAGTTGGATGGGTCTGGACCATAAACCCAAACCGGCCAATTATTGGAGAAATTCGGATTTATACTGGCCAAAAGTTGCAGGGTAGATGTCTCGAAATTGATTTTAAATTTTGTTGCGTATATAGCAATTCGCAAATAATGATATACGTAAAGCAAAAGACAGACTGTACAAAGTTCATTCCCAAGTAACTTTGCTAACTTCCAAATTTAAAAAGGTTATAGTACCAGACGAAAATATCTGCATAGATTAAGCGATGGTATCCTTTCGCGAACGTTTGAAATTTCGCCAATATTTGAAAGGAAAGGAACATAAATTCGGAATCAAACTCTTTAAGCTATGCATCAAAGAGGGGTATATGTATCACTGCAAAATTTATTGTGGTGAAGACAAAATTGATGGTATGTCTGTGGCCACTACAGATGTATTTAAACTTATGGACAAAGTCTAGATAAAGGAATGACATTGTACACTGACAACTGGTACATTAGCGTACAGTGAAAAGTTACCAGCTGAAAAGTTACAAAGCAGAAAAACCCACCTAGTAGTAACACTATGAAAAAATCGGAAATGTATTCCGAAAGAAGTACTGGTAAGCAAACTGAAGAAGGGTGACATTGTAGGAAGAGACAGAAATGTTCTGCCATTGTTAAATGGAAAGATAAGTGCGATGTCCTGATGCTTACCACCCAACATAAACTGAATTTTATTGACGTTCCAGGCAGAATTGAAGTAAAAAAAGCCAGAAGCTATTGTGGGTTATAATAATGGGAAAAGTTTCATTGAAGTATCCGACCAATTGTCGTCGTATGCTACTTCTATTAGACGGAGCATTAAATGGTACAAGAAGATGGTAACAAGCATAGTAAATGTTCATTATTTATGTAAGAACAAAACTGTGCCAGAAAGAGGAAGTCTAACAGATTTCAAAGAAAAATTGTACTTGAAACTACTTTCAAAAGGTAAATAAAGTAATACTCCCCACAATACACCCCCAGAATAGAAATTTATTTAAGCAGGTAAAAAAAGTAGATGCGTAATTTGTTACCAATCAAATAAAGTTGACCGCGGACGACGTTATGCAATAAATAGTACTCTGCAAGTTACCACTAAATGCCAAGTCTGTGACCAAAAATTTCTCTGCTTAATATTTTTTTGATTAGCACAAAACTTTGATAAACAAGCCATTTGAGTATAATTTAAAATATGTGTTATTATTTTATTTTATAGTACATTATTGCATCTATTGTATCTACTTTTACATCAAAATTGACAATTCATTATCTTTTAAGGTTGTTTTAATTAAAAATCTACTATAATTCAACTATTAATAGAAAAAAATGACGAAGTATTTTTTCCCAGGCTAAGATCATTTTTAATGTCCCAGGCACAAGTTATATCCTATTAGAAATACAAGTAAAGTCTGCTCCTGTAGAATACACATGGCCAGACGATATTTACTGTCATAAAACTACTATAATAAACATTTCAAAATTTACATCTTAGTAGAGTGTGGAGTGTTGCAGTTCTTGATCACGATTAAGATATAGAAAAGATCAGATTATATTCTAGGGAGTAGACATGAAATAAATTAAAACAATCTTGTATACAGAATGTGTTACATAACGAACAAATATATAAGTTGCATTGGTATACAATTCAGAAAAGAATCACGAATGCAAAAGAATATTTATTGGATACATAATATATAAAAACTATATTCAATATCCAGTTGGATATATCCAAGAAGGAATAGATAAATCAGTTGTTAACGAAGATCGTGATTAAAGTTAAGTTATATTTACCTTTTCTCCACTCTAGAGTATCCAATATATCTGCTGTCGGTACAACACCGATCCTCCTCTTACGCTTACTTTCGTCAAGTTTAGGAGACTGGACCTCCCTCATAGCAACTAGTTGCTCTTTAATCCAATCTGCATTCAGATCAATATGTTTGAAAATCTTACTGGCAGCCGGCAGTACTTCAGGATCACGCGCGGTAGTGGATATTTCGATTATAAGATCTATTAGTTTCTTTACAACGATCTCATTATCCAGTTCAGAAAAGAATTCTTTGTCTAACTGATTTAGTACAAGCAGTGAAGGGGATATTTGGGCTTCGTCCTCATTGTATAATTTTGTTTTGTCATCTTTTATAAATGTGTCAATTAACTTCCATGTACTAGAATCTAATTTGAGTTTCTTTATCACCTTCGATTCAATTCTCGACACAACAAATCCAATTATTTTTGCGTTGAAAGATCGTATTCCTTCAATACCACTATTTTTTAGAATCTCTACAGCCATATCTGATAAATCTTCTAATATGTCAAAGGAGGTAATTAAGGATAATACTTTTAAAATACCTGCTTTAAGATAGCATGGAGTAACATTGTCGTAACACAATTTTAGTAGACGGTTCCTTATCATATTTAGATCATTTGTACAAGTCTTTTTTTTTGTGTTAGAATAATCTAGATGATTGAACATAATTGATGGTAGTTGTTCATTATCAATAATAACTTCTTCCTTATTTTTAACAATATAATTTAGAAGGTGGTAATATGAAACAGTTTTTTTACTAGATACATTAATTAAGGTGTTCATAATGTCGATAACTCCTTCTCGAATCTCGGCATTAGGATCTGATAATAAAACTATTAAAAAAGCACTAATCCTTTTATCAAGAAATATTAAAGGTTTCGCGTTTTCATTGTCTTTTAAACTACGCTGTATGTAACGAAGAACATTCTGTCTGAAATCATCTTCTAAATTCAATTTTTTATTGATGCATAAATTTAGCAGGAACTCTATTTCTTCCTCCAAATTTTGACAATATCTATGTAACAATGTTTTTAGGAAGTCTTCGTTATTGTCTACCAATATAATTGTAATCATTACAATAAATTTATTTTCAGTATGATCAAGTGAAAAATCCTGTACTGTAAGTTTTGGTTTCTCTATCTTTTTTGTGAGATTTTCTAAACATTTCAAGAAACCTCGAATGGGAAAGTTTCCTAGAAGCGCTTGCTTTATATAAACATCTATTGTGCTAGTTTGTTCAAATTTAACTTCCGAACCCTTATAAAAGCTTAACAAAATATCCAAAATAATATTACCAGTTTTTAAACTTGAGTTTTTAGGTAGAAGATGAGTAACTATCAAAAATGATACATATCTTTTAAAACTATTCCAAGATTCATCAGGTATTTTCTTTAACATTTCTATAAAAGACTTAACATTTTCAACATCTGTGTTTTTATCCAATGCTTCAATGACCACTTTAACAAAAGTTTTTCTGTCAGATATAGTTTTCAGGTTGAGTATTTGATTCTTAAACAAATCATGACCAACTAAAAAAGGTGAATTTAGAACTTCTTTAGCTTTTCCCAGATCTTTGGAATCTGTAGGTAACAAAAATGGAAACACAGTTAAAAATACTTCCCAGTCATTTGGTGGATATAATGAAGTCAACATTTCTAATACGATACTACAAACTTTATCCCAATTATCTTTGTCCTTCTGATATTTTTCTGCAAGATGGATAAGTGAAGATTTTAAATTCTCTCTATCCATTATTCCAGTTTTTTTAATCACCTTAAGTGTGTTTTTGACTACTGTTACATCATCATCTCTTAGTCTGTCTACAAAGGAATTATTTATTATTTCTTTGTCATTATCTCTGAGGGAATCATAATCATCTAATAAAAATGTTAATGCTTCAGTTCTTATAGCTGGATTAGGATGATAAAGTTTGTTAAAAATATCAAATTTTCCTTGATAAGTAGTGGTATTTTTTAAAATTTTTGAAAGACATTTTCGTCTTTTTATTGATGTCTTATTTGTAGATACTGATAAAATTTTATATATCTCCTTATCAAAAGGAGAAGGATATTGGTTTTCTATTGACTCAAATATTTCTGTCAGCCATTTTTTAGCTTCTGAGGAAATGTCCATTTTAGCAGGAACAGCATCCAGGATACAACTAAAAAGTAAATATGGCTTGTACTTATTTAATATTATCATTTAGAATTTTATTTGGTATTGTTATTTAAAAATATTTCAAACCAAGTAAACTAATTCTCATAATTGAATCTTGTACTAATAATTTGGAAATTTTATTATATGTAAAACAGTTCCCAAAAAAACTTAAAAGTGTAGGAAACAAATTCTATAATCTTTCTTTCTTAATGAACTTTCGACACAATAATAAAAAAAATGACCATATCAGGAATGCTCCATTTATAAATTAAAAAAAAATCGTTATATACAACATCTTATATATATATATATATATATATATATATATATATATATATATATATATATATATATATATATAATGAACTAGAAGTATTTGCTGACAACAAGGAAGTAAATTTTCAATATTGGGTTTGCAGCAATAAAAATGATACGTGTACTCTTTTAAATTTTTATTCCGAGCTTTCGGACATGGTTATGTCCTTCATCAGGGAGCTACAAATATGATGAATAGTTTGTTACAAGTTTGTATAATTAATTAAAGATTCGCTACTTACAAACTTAATGAGGTTGGATCATCAATGATTTTCTACCATGTCGATAAAACTTATCACAGTCTGTCATATTATTATATAAAACTTATTCCTATATTTAAAATTTTTAAAAATTGCTATACAATCACAAACACTTACTTATTATACACACATTTCTGACACTTTTATTCTTAATTTTATTATATCGTCATTAGTTTTTTCACAAGACAATTCAGTGGTTTTTATTATTAGATACTAGTACCAAATTATAGGCCTATCATTAGATGTATTGTGGCTATATAAATTATTTTATATTTATTAATATGTTTCAACACAAAATTTATTAAATTAACCTAAAGAAATAAGGTCATAATTCTAAAAATATTACAATTGAATATGATATTGTTTTGTATGACCCCAGTATCTGTGTGTATACAAAAATTACTAAATTTAAAAACAATTAAAAAAAGAAGAAGAGAAAACTTTTATTTAATTTATTAAAAGTCAATTGATAAATTACTGTTTGTGTTATTGTTGCATTTATCTAGTAGTAATAAATAGGAGAACAATTCATTTAGATGACCAATATCCGTTCTATGATTCATTGCATTGTTATTTTGGCAAATGTATGCCATTTCAAGAAAAAGTCTTTTGGTGATGTTACTTTCCTGTTCTACTACTTTGATGTTATTGTAATCTATCCGATGCCCATTTTTGAATGTATGTTCACCCAATGCACTTCTTTCTGGATGTAATCTATTGTCAGACTTGTGCGATATAATGCGGTCTTTAAGGCATCTTGATGTTTGACCGTAGTATACTTGTTCACATGATCCGCACGGTATACAATAAAGAACATCCGTTAACGACAAGAGTGGGGATTGGTCTTTAAGTTTAGAAAAAACTTTGTTAACTGTTAGTACCGTTTTATATGTAATTTTGATATTATTAAGTGATGAAAAAATTCTACTAAGTTTATGCCCAATGTCCTTAATGTATGGAAGGGATACATATTTTATTGTCGTTTGTTTTTGTAAAGGATCTACAGGTCCAATTCTATCGTGTGATAAAGACATATTTTCCTCGTTTCTTAAATGACTAGTTAAAGTTTGTGGAGTGTTAAACAAAATTTTCTTCAGTAGTATACTTGGGTATGAGTTTTCAATGAATAGGTTATACAGGATTTTTAGATTTTTGGTATAGAAAGCGGTATCACTGATTTTAAGGACACGATTTTTCATTTCTTTAACTAAATTAAGTTTCATTGAATATTTATGGTATGACCAATAATTGAGATATCTTCCTGAACTGAGAGGTTTTCTATACCAATCAACTAGCAAATGGGTACCTTTTCGTATTAACTTGGTATCTAAAAAAGGTACTGAACCTGTAGCATCTTCACGTTCTAATGTGAATTGAATGTAGGGGTTGTAACTATTGAAATACCAAAGTATATCATTTATCCCCGTGCTTGGTAATGCTAATATTATATCATCCACATATTTTTTTATAAAATGAAATTTATAAGGTAGGACAAGGATAATGGTGTCTAGTATGTGGTCCATTACATAACAGGAAATTATTGGTGATATAGGGTTCCCCATAGGTGTACCAAATGTTTGTTTGTAAAATTTTTTGTTAAATGAAAAATAATTATTTTCGAACAGAAAGGTTAACAGTTTGAAAAAAGTTTCTTTATCAATGTTACAATGTTGAGCAATAATCTCCCATTTATTACTAATGGCAAGTATACATATATTAAGATAAACATTGCTAAATAAGGATACTACATCTAGGCTCGCAATAACGTAACCTTCCGGTAATTGTGTGTTATTAAATAATTTATTAACTTGAAATGAGTCTTTAATATAGTATTCATTCTCACAATTGTATGCATTTGTTAAAATATCTGTTAAGTAGTTAGCAATATTTTCTGTAGGTGTGCCAATAGAGGCTAAAATTGGTCTAACAGATAATGGGGTTTTGTGTACCTTTGGTAGACAATAAAACTTTCCAGATATACCTTTATAGTTAGATAATCTCTTTTTAGTTGCTTCATCTATTTTTTGATTGTCAAACAACGATTTTACTACTTTATTACATTTTTGTTGAATAGATGAAGTTGGATCATTCTTTAATGTGGTATATGATGTATCATTTTCTATTATAGCCACAGAAAGATCCAAATATTTTTGTTTTTCTAAAATAACAGTGACGTTACCTTTGTCTGATCTTGTGACTATCAAATTGGGATTTTCTTTTAAGAATTTTTTAGTTTTTATTAACAAAAGATTAAATATTGAATTATTAAGTTTGGAATTGTTAACTGAATTCGTTAAAATATTTACTGATCTTGCTGTAAGGATAGTTTTAGTGTCTTTGTCCGATACATTTATAAGAATGTTATCAATGTCTGCTAAAATTCTTTTTATAGAGATATCTTTACCAATTTGTGGTTGAATTTACACAAGTGCTAAGATTTAAGTAGTAAAAAATCTCGATGTTTCCGCAAAATGGACACACATCGCCTCCATTTCATCCACATACGGCACAAGTCTGCAACATGATAGGACATGTGTGTTTTTTTCTGGAAATTGCAGCTGACTGTTACAAATAAATCAGTTTGTTACTGTAATGTTATCAGACTAGACGTGTTGTTGTGAATATCTAGTGGCGGCTACAGTACAAAGTTATTGATCTAGAACTTAAAACTATAAAAGTTTATATAAAATCCTTTAGGAATTTCATTTCCTTGTGGATCTTAAAACTATAACTTTTATCATAGAACATAGTAAAGAAATATCTACTAATTGGCCCACAAAAATTATCAAGCGTGAGAGAATGATAAAACAATTGAAAATTCATGGCGAATATAGTATTTTGCAACTATAGCAAATTATTTTGCTGTAGTTGCAAAAATTCCCGTTTCTGAAGAAAGCCTTCCATTCAAAGGAAATTTAATGATATGGATGATAAAAATAGTTAAGATTCTCATTTAACTGGTCTTACTTCAATGAATCATATTATTAGAAGACATCCTCGATCGGAAGTAAAAAAAAATCATGGCAACTTCACATACAAAATTTGGGCAAGGGAATTTGAAATCAAAGTGTGCAAGAAAGGTTTTTTCAGCCTGTATGATATCAAAGATGCTCATCTAAGGCGAATACGAAGTTCCCTAATGATCACTGGAATTTCCCCCACAAATAAATGGGAAATCCATGAGAGCATACAAAAAAAAATCTCCAGAATGTATTGTGGAACTTATTACTATTACTACTATCCTGCTAGACAGTCACATTATTCACGTCATCAGAATCCAAACTATTCCTATTTACCAGAATCTCCTACCTTGAGGATCTACATAATATATTTCTGCAAATTTATAAACATATCATATAAAATCTACTGGAAAGCATTTAGAACATATTTTAATAATTTTGTAATATTTATAATATTTTTTTTGCAAAATCTGCTTCTTCCATATATACTATCATAACACTGTATTTTATAGCTGGCAACTGTGGTACAATGTTGTTGGGACAAATGACCTAGAAACTGATGATACTTCGATGTACACTTATCTTAAAAATTTAAGCAAAAATGGTGCCGAGGTCACTTCGATGGTGTTGCATTACCTTAAATAGAACATCCCTAATCGCAATTTAGATATTTTTAGTGACGTTTGTCTAGGACAAAATAAAAACTATTTAATGACTATTTTTGATATACCCTGGTCCATATACGTCTTTAGTAGAAAAAAAGAAGAGACGCCTGGAGAGAGTTGAGAGACCAGAGAATTTGAATAAAATGACTTTAAGTGTCAGAATGAAACCGAGCCCATCTAGCTTGGTGAAAATGAAGCAGTACGACATCTTTGATATCAAATCTGCAACATGCAACTTTTTCCTGAAAAATCCTAAACCTGCTATTAACATCAAAAATATCAAGATTATGAGAATTGCCAGCCAAACATCCACACTATTTTTAAATGATACGTATAATGAAGTACTTGCAGTTGCTTCAAATAAAGCAGAAAACTTAAGATCGCTATTACTGTTACCATGATACATTTGTAATAAAGAGTACTATGAAGTAATCTTGATAACAGAACATTACCTAACCCCGGCCTTAAAAATAATTACAATAGCAGCGGATGCGAAGATTAAGTTATTGTTTATCATTATTAATCCGTTTTATATAATAATTTTATTCTATTTTGAAATATAAGTCATATTTTTCTACTTTCATTTTTTTCCTTGCAAAAACAACTTAATAATGTCCAACAGTTTTTTGTCACGATTAAATTTGTCAAGTTATTATTAATCGAAATTAGTAAAAAAAGAATTAAATAATTGATTAGTTTTAAAATAAAATGCATTTTTCGTTTCCTGAAAAATTAACAAATTTTTCAGGAAACAGCATTAGTGGTTTTTACAACAGTTTTTAGTTTACAACAGGCCAAAAATCC